CATGTTCTTTTTCCTCCATTCTGTTCACTTGTTGTTGATTGTAATTTTCTATACATATCCGGTTAAAGAGCTACGTCATTTCGATTGGACATGTTTGATGCTAATTCGATGAATAAGGATTCAGTGATTAACCTATCTCTCTCATACACTCCCTCCACCTAACTATATTACTTTTTAGTACTTTCACCCTGTCGCACTCTGTTGCAATAGCTGGGCGATTTTCCAGATTCTTTAACTTAGCAGAGTCAATCATTCCAGATTTACCGGAATCCCTATGTTCCAGTAATCTAATCTAATGTAATCTAATCGAAATGACGCAACTCCTACACCAGATATTTGAATAACACGGGAGAGAGGTATATGCATAGAGCAAATTATGAAGTTCTGTGAATGTATTGATATGATTATGAGCGATAAATTTTACTTGAAATGTTATCCCGTTCATAATACCTTATCGCCCTGTGTTTTATGAAAATTAACTTAGCTAAAATGGAGTTAAATTCTGCCGTAGAGCCCCTTTGACAATGATCTGTGAGGTTGAATAGGCTTGATAATTTATGGAATTTCACGGATTATGGTAGGTAGCATTTTGATGATCAACACAGACTGCAGTAAGCTCCAGTACGCTATTCTTTCAACGCCCTGTATGTTTTGAAGTTCATTCGTAGGATGTGATTTCTTCTAAACCTGTAATTTATATTCAGTGTGAGGATGAAAGCTATCTCAGGGTGTTTTCGCGCAGTGTATACCTGCCAAAGAAGGACGACCTACTCCTCTACAAGAACTGTCGTGGAATCATGATCTTTTCCACTCCAAGTAAAATACTACGTCAAATCATCCTGGAAGGAAATAATGGATGGACAGGATACAGAACTCCATCAGGCCAGAACAAGTTGGATTCAGGAAAGGCAAGACATGTGCTGATCAAATTGCAAATCTACACATCACCATCGAACAGAGCATAATATTGCAGACGAACATGTACCTTAACTTCATCAATTTCGAAAAGACCTTCGACAGACATAATTGACGGAGAAGTAATCTGGAAACTACTTCAACACTACGGCATGAAGTGCCCAAGTCTTTATCAACCTCATTCGACAGCAACAGCAACAACAACCAGCACCAATTACCATCAATGGGAGAGATTTAACAGAGGTTTCCTCTTTCACTTATGTGGCCAGAAAGCATCGTTTCAACTACTAGATGTTGGAATGAACAAAGATGTCAAAGCCAGCCAGTCAGAATCGGAAAGGCAAGATACGCCTTCATCAACCTGAAACCAGTTTGGAAATCTTCTGCTTCACTCAGCTAGTATAAAGAAAGAAGATTGGCATTTTCAACACCAATATCAAGTCGGTTCTTCTATACAGGTCAGTAACTTGCACTACGTGTCACGAAAAAGGTTTCCGACAGGCGAGTGCAGACTTTCATCAACAGCTGCCTTCTATGACTCCCTACTGAAGAACAAACTGAAGGCTGGCTGACTAGAAAGTCTCAGTAACATAAAACTATGACGATAAACGAGCCAACCAAGAGCCGATTGCTGAATTAATAAATATGTGGGAGAAAATAGAAATGGATTGGGCATACTTTGAGGAAGTCGTCGTGTCATATCGCGTGCAGTGCAGGCCATGGCTTGAGTAGAATCCAAATGGGAAGCGAAAAAAAAATGGTCGTTGGAGTTTGATATGGAGGAGATCATGTAGCGACGAGAAGATGAGAGAGTTCGGTCAATCGTGGACCCAGATGTAGAGATTAGCAGAAAACAAAACAAAGTGGAGATGTGTGGCTGAAGCCAGCCCCATGTGCCACTCGGAAACTAAGGGAATAATAATAATAATGTATAACATAGCAAATGCCACGAAAAATATTACAGTCGTATTAAAAAGAAGTTGACGAAATACTTTTAAAACAGCTGCATCTGACATGATCACAGTATTTCTTTTAGCAGATACTGTAAAATCACATAAAATCAGTTGACTGAGGAGATTTAAATCGTAACTGCCTGCCTCTGTTCTTCTCATAATGACATCAATATATTTCACATGACTTTCTAATCTAATATATGTAATGTTTATTCATTTCATCTTCAGTATGTTCAAAAGTGGTATTGCTTCACCGACCAACAAAGATTTGATTATCAACCTTCATCATTCTCTGTCGCTCCGTAACTATCTATTTTAATTGGTTAGAGGACTTCATCATGAGTCGACATTAGTTAGATAACCATCGGAAAACCTGGAGGAAGTAACTGGACGGCTGTTTTGTCCTAGTTTGGGATTCTTCAGCACTACTTTCTAATACTTTTACTCTGTACCAACTTTTTGTGCTCTTACGCACAAATGAATGCATTAGAACGGCCGGTTTTTTTCCTTATTGACTATTTAACTTAGGAAAGTCTATCATCCTATCCATAGCTGAATTCCTACGCTGGGATAGTCTAACCGATTCGTGGTTACTAATGTAACTCATATTTTTGACCTTATGGTCATTGGAAGGATGTCGGCAAATCATATTATTTTGCCTTATTAGGAAGGAATGTTAGTGGCCTTACGTAGGATTCTCAATAAGGCTGGAATTAGTTGGAGTGGCATTTAAACCAACCAAATCTCTCACATAAAAACTTTGTTCAATTAACAAAAATAATATAACTTACTAAATACCATGTATATAATTACTGTTAGTGAGGTCAGTTACATAAGCGAGTCAGACTAGTAGGTCGGGGTCCGCCAACTAGATTACTGGAACCTTATCGGAATTAAGCTAGATCTAGAATGATTGACCCTACGTTAAATAACCTAGAATAAACAGAGCTCACCCATTTCACTGCATTCAGTTGCATGTAATCACACATACTGTGGGGTGGATGGAACAGGGTGAGAGTATTACAAAGTAATATAGTTAGGTGGAGTGAGAGATAGAGAGAGGTAAATCACTGAAGCTTTGTCTATCGATTCAACACCACACATGTGCAGTCAAAATGACTCACAGTCTATACCAGAGATATGGAGAGTGGCAACAAATAATAAGGGGAAGTTGGAGAGAGAAAGAGAATATATATATATATATACAATACAAGTTGTGAAACTGTGTGAGTGAATTGGTATGATTATGAGTGAGAAGGTCCTGGGTTCGAACCCCGGTGGGTACGTACTGATGAAGAGTCCCAAACTAGAATGAAACGGATGTTCAGTATCTACCGTTCTGTTCTCAGTGGTTCTCTAACTGATGATATCAATCCATGCTCAAACTCATAAAAACGAGTCTAATCCTTATAAATCAACTCTTGAAAATTAATCTGATGCTTCCCTGTGACTTGCTACAGGACGAAGTTTCCTGTTCTAGTAAGTTCTAGTGAGCATTTGTGACCAGTGAGGTCTAACCAGTCAAGTGTGAGGATGGATGCCCCACCGATGACATTGGTTAGTGCCACCAGTTGCGCCTAAATCACGAATTGGTAGAGGTTAGAATCCACGGGCTGCCCATTGAAGAGTTGGGTCCCATTGGGTGGCTTTAAGGTCTCTGAGCTAACTTGCCTTTTAACTGGAAGGTCGTGGGTTCGAACCCCGGCAGTGGGTGGGTGGGTGCCTACTGCCGATGATTCCCAAACTAGACTGACGAAACGACTGGCTGTCCAGTACTAGAAAGCTGGTTTTCCAATGGTTCTCTAACCGATGTCAGCCCACGATAAGATCCTGTAATCAGTCAATCAATACCTTAGAAAGCCGTACTTGAATACTGTATCACCACTGTGCGGTACTTGAAATAAACTGATCTAATATGGAATTCTCCTTATTGTACCTGTCAGACCTTTAAACTGATAAAGTTGATCACTGTGTAAGTTAGTCAATTTCGATGCCATCCTAATTCCGAACTCATTAAGAATTCTACGTACAGCTTCAGATTTCTCTTTCTGACATGATAGTACTACGATAATCACTATTTACATTACTCCTTCTATTATTCTTACAATTCACAATCACTCCTTTAGATGAATCCTGTGGAATGCCGGGTTGTTGTGGTTGTTGTTTTTATGCGATATTAATGTTCTCATTACTGATCTAGTTTTCCTGACTCTATGATCAACTACCAGCTGGATTCAATGAAACTATAACTTACAGTGAAATTTTTTTTAATTCCTCCACATTCCCAGTGGAACATAGGGCACCTTCAAGCTAGAAGCTTGAAGTTTCTGTAGCAGTGTTTATTTCTACAGGATGGGGTTGCTAGCCTCATGCCCAACCTTTCCTCTTTACCAGCATTATTACTGGTTTAGCGAGGTAAAGGAGTGCATCCAGTGGCCGGGAATAGAACCCCGGACCATGTGCATGGTCGGCGAGCATCCTAACCGCTATACCACCGACGCAACAGTGAAATTAGATCTGTTGAATACATCTAATTGAATTTTAGATTTTCCCATCCATTGATTGATTGATTGAACGGAAGTGCTCGGTCTCAGATTGACATGTCAGCTTCTTGTGCAGACGCTTCGACGATGTCTGGGCATTTAATAAGAATTTAATTTGTGGATGCTGACATAGGAGTGGAATCCAGAATTCGCATTTCGTCCTGTTTGGGACTCGTCAGCCACTGGATGTACCTGCATTCCCCAGTTAGTGAGTGATGATATTCCCACCGAAGCACAAGAGGTGGTTGTCGTGTGGCCCAAGCGGTCAAGTGGATAACCCGATTTGGCGTTTGAAACTATGGGCATTGGTGGGAACATCATCACCCACTGACTGGGGAATGTAGGTACATCTAGATGACGAGTCCCAAATAGGAGGAAACGCGCTTTATCCTGGATTCCACTGCTATTCACCACCCACAAATTAAATATTGAATACATCGTCTATACAGTAAATTATCTAATTTTTGGTATATTTTCCAGTAAAGTCATTATTTCCTTTACGAGTGTATGTGTGTGTGTGACTTTGATTTTTTTCACATCCCGTCTCTTTTTTTACCCTCTTTTTCTTTCTTTTTCTCTCTCTCTACAGAAACTGTTCCCCCACTGATTTACGACTGGGGGAGAAACTCGCCAAAATCAAGGTCATTCCTAGATTTAGAATGAATCAACAATTTTCAGGAGTTGCACCAGTCGAGAAACAAACAAACAAACAAGCAAACCAAAGAGACGAAAGAGACAATAAACACACTCACTTGAAAATAAGAAAAAAACAACAACAAGATTATTCTCAGCACATTTGACATTATAAAAAATAAATAAATAAATAAAATTATCACCTTGTGTAACTATACTTAAAGTTGCCTTGTTGTCTTTATGAAAAATGGGAGGAAGAGATAGGCAAGAGTGGAGTGGGTGAGGTTTAGGGTGGGGTGAAGGTATTCATGTACTCTTGTTGTTCAGGTGGTGCAAGTTGCGTTGTCCGCCGAGGAACTACGAAACCTCGCACAGATGGTGGTAGTTAACCTCACAGAAAGGAAGAGGTTTGTGTGTGAGTGCGAAAAATCCACCAAGCTTTAAGGCCTCTATGTGGCGTGTAGTATTACTCACAAGGTAATCTCAACACTTGTATAATCCGTGTCAATTTTCTGCATATTTATCCCGTTTAAATCAGAGTTACTTGTTTCTCGCTTATCTTTTATGACGGGTGACCCGATCTTCAGTACCCAGTAAATGGAGCAAGTATTGATGAAAGCCAGAAGTAGTCAGTCTGATAGAAATGCATTCTCTGAAGGGGGGCGACACATCTCTAAATCACATAGAAGCACTGACTTGACATTAGTGTTAATCAAAATTCGTATATTGCTCCTTGTTATGAACCCTGTAGGTCACCACGCTACTCTGACGACCAACTAACTCACCGCTTCCCATTCAGCCGGGTTCCACTCAAGCAATAGCCTGGCGTGTGATGTCACTCACTTGAGGGTTTGTTTTCTGAGAGTACGGCCTCCAATCCACCTCCATTTCTCCCTGCATATTTGTTGTACAATCGGTTACTGATGGGTTGGTTTGCTCATTGTCACAGATCCATCCCTGTTGCTTATCAGCTCTGGCCGGCCATCTTATGTTGAGTGGTGTTGAGCGAAGACATCTATTGATGAAGGTGTGTAGTGTGTTAGAAGTGCCCTTCGTGATGTCACGTGGCGTGGTGCCAAGTCTCTGATCCGTATAGTAAGTAGCACTAACTGACTTCACATTGGAGTTGAGAATCCGGATCTTATTTTCATTTTCATGCTGAGTAGGGCTATTGACCTCCAGACGGACTTAAGAGAAATGAAAGCTTTCTTTGCTTTATCGATCCTCGCTGCTTTGATTTCCTCGTTAGTTCGGTCGGCCTGTAGTTGGAACTCTGCTTCCCATGTAGGTAGGTAGGTAGGTAGGTGAAGGAGGTCGCTTCTTTTAGATCTTTTCCATGTCACATACAGTTGAATTATTGCTGTCCCGTCAGGTAAGTGATAGAGTCAATCTCCACTTTGACTTCTCTGATTTAAGGTAAATAGTGATTCTTTTGAATGTTTCGGTGTCTTCATCTCCTCTGCCTTTTCTAGATTCTCCTGAAGTTCTCTCATTGTTGTGTCTTCCTTCTGCCAGTTTCATGATTTTCATTTATGAATGTTAGAGTTTGTAAGGCATTAATCATTCATGAAATCTAGATCTTCTGAGATCTTCCCATCACTCCAACAGAACTACTTAGTATATAATCAGAGGAAAAATGAAAACAAAACTGCCTACCAACTGAAGCTTGTAGATTCTTAAGACCATGTTTACGAATTATTCACCTGCTTACATGTGAGGATGACGAATTCATGAATTGAAAACCAAGACAATCGCCACTGAAGCTTCAAAGCTAGAAGTCTTAAGGTTCCATTGAGAAGCTTAGAAAAGAATGAAAATAGACTCAAAATGTGATTTTAGAACTGCTCATAAGGAAAAAAAACCATGTTCTACTTGGGTGTTTGTTTCTCAGGCTGTTATCCTCTTCGAACTGGAATTTAATTTTCCTGTTGACTGACTGGCGTGAAATATTCTGCCTCTTTTAATGCGTCGGCTTCTAGTACAAACTCTTCGGCGATGTCCAAGGATTAACTTGGACTAATTTGGTGGGCAGTGACTGGCAGTGGGACCCAGGATTTGCATTACATCCTATTAGGAAACTTATCAACTGGGTGGTGTATCCATATTCTCCAGTGAGTATCAGTGTTGTCACTGAGATTCGAATCTGGTACCCATCGTTCCAAATGCGAGGATCAACCAATGGGATAATTAAAATTGACTCAGGAACAAATCATAACTGATGCCGCCTGCACAACAGATGACTTTCAACCCCCCCTCCCCCAATTGGTCTACTGCATTGGTGTGTTGCTAAACATCGCATTCAATCGCCTTTCGTGGAGATGATTTCAATTTTAACGGGGCCAGATTTAAGTTATCCTTTAGATTACTTGAGGTCACTACCGGTTTCCAGTACTTCCAGCCAATTCCTGTTGTTTATTACTATTTTTTTCGGAATCCTTACTGTTTGAAAATATCGGCTGTCAGTCCTTTTTTCAAATGTTTCAACTATACTACTTATATGAAGCCTTATAATCAGTAGTTGCATAGATAATTATAATCTGTTATATTGAAAATAATAGAGGAGATTTATAGCGTAGGTGGATAATTTGCAATGACTAGTGTTCTCTGAGCTAGTTGGTTAGTTTAGTTGCGGGAAGATGTTGTCCAGAAGGACGACAAAAGCGCCTCAAATAAACCAATCAACCAGCTCAGGCTGGGGGTACACTACTAATTGCAAATCTGATATATATTCCAAAAAACAGACAGCATTTGTCACACACACACAAACACACACAATATTGCATCTGATTTACTCAAAACATCATAAATAAAAGTTGTGACCACAGGAATTTGTCCACATTTACGGTAGGAATAAAGTCGAAAATATGCAAATTATGAAATGAGATTAATAACTAGACTAATAATACTAATAGCAGTGTGTTTTTGTTTCAAACAGTATTGTTGATACACACTATGGAAATCCTTAGGCATGTTATAGAGGTATTGAATCTAATGTTATCTTGACATAGAATGGTGACAGGAAAAACAAAAGGATAACAATTAATACATACAGCCTAAATGATGTTTACACTTATGAGAAAATAAACAAAAAGAAGTGAAGGGATTACAAATATGAGAAGAAGAATAATAACAGTAAGACTAAATGGTATGAGGATAGAGCAGATTGTTTATTTACAAGTGAAGAGAAGGTTAGTAAATTGGTCAGTTAGTTGATTAATTAGTTAGTTAGCTGGTTGGTTGGTTTATTAGCTAGTCAGTTAGTTGGTAAGTAAGTAGGTAAGTAAGTAAGTAAGTTAGTTAGTTGGTTAGTTAGTTGGTTGGTTAGTAATTTAGTTAGTTAGTAGCATAGTCACAGATTAGTTAGTTAGTTAGTAAGTTAGTCAGCTAGTGGGTTATTTATTTAGTTAGTTAGCTAGTTAGTGAATGAGTTACTTAGTTCAAGTTTAGTGAGTTAGTTAGTTAGTTACATGGTCACAAGTTAGTGAGTAAGTAAGTAAGTTAGTTAGTTAGTTAGTCGGTTAGTTAGTTAGTTGGTTAGTTAGATAAATATTTTGCTAGTTAGTTAGGTAATTAGATATTTAGTTATTTGGTTGGTTAATTACTTAGTTAGCTGGTTAATTAGATAGTTATCTAGTTAGTGAGTTAGTCAGTTAGTTGGTTAGTTTGTAAGCTATTTAGTCATTTAGTAAGTTAAGTAGTTAGTTAGTGAGTTAGTGACTTATATAGTTAGTTACATGGTCACAGGATAGTTAGTAAGCTAGTTAGTTATTTAGATAATTAGTTATTTATTTATTTAGTTAGTGGGTCACTACTTAGTTCGTTAGTTAGTGAGTGAGTATCTTAGTTCAATTTCCGTGAGTTAGTTAGTTTGTTACATAGTCACAAGATAGTTAGTTAGTTAGTTATTTAGTTAGTTGGTTAGTTAGTTATTTATTTAGTTAGTCACTAGTTGGTCCGTTAGTTTGTTAGTTACTTAGTACAATTTCAGTGAGTTAGTTAGTTTGTTACATAGTCACATATTATTTATTTATTTAGTTAGTTTGTTGACTAATTAGTTAGTTGGTTACTTAGTTATTTAATTAGTTGGTTAGTTAGTTATTTAAGTAGTTATTTGGGTAATTATTTAGTGAGTTATTTGGTTAGTTGTTTGGTTATTTAGTAAGTTAGTTAATTAGTTAGTCAGTTTGTTATTTGGTTAGTAATTTAGTTTGTTAGTTAATTAGTCACTTTGTTATTTGGTCAGTAATTTAGTTAGTTATTTAGTTGGTTATTGAATAAATAAATAAGTTATTTAGTTAGTTAGTTTCACGTTAGGCAGTCAGTTAGTTAGTCAATTAGATAGTTAATTGGGCAGTTCGTTATTTAGTGGGTTAGTTATTTAGTTGTTTATCTAGTTAGTTACTTACTTAGTTCATGCCTGGCACTACTTTCATGACATACAATGCGTGTCAGCATATATGGTATCATGGAATTTTTATATTTATATTTGCGAGAGCGTAAAGTCTTTTTGTGAAATGACTTCTTTTTCTACCCGAAGAGATACTGTAAGGTTATAGCTGCGGGTTAGCTGGATGCTCATGCTTTGACAAAATCCTTTCAGCAAATTCATTGCATGAAATCAAGTTCCTTTTTGTCAATGACGATGTCAAAGTTATGGCACAATGGGATACTATTCGTTCTACTGACAGTTTTTACAGTTTTGCGAAGTATAACAACCCAGGAAATAATAGGAGTGAACAATAGGGAAGAACAAGTAAGATGGAAGAGTTGGCAAGCTATAAGATGAGGGATTGCATTATGCTCGAGTGCCTTAAATTCTTAATGTAAAAGGTCATAGGAATTATTCTTTTAGAAATCTCTAAGACGTCGGAAGACCAGGATAGGTCAGAAAAAAGAATTAATCCAAGATACTTAAATTCATACTTGATTTCTATATCAGTGTCATCAATTTTGCAACGGTCATAGGAACCAACAGCTGCTTTTAACTTTCTTTTACATCGGAAACTGAAATTAACAGTCTGACATTTGGAAGGATTTAGTTTGAGGCAATCAGACGAAAACCATTTGCTAATTCCTGATAGAAAGCTGTTCATCTTAGTACAGTTAAGCTTGGAGTTAACAGACATTGAAATAGTTAGATCATCGGCACACTTAACAAAGTTCAGTTCATCATCAGAGTCAGGCAATTCACGCAAGAAGAAAGAAAACA